CTGAGAGAGTGTAAGCTCCTTGAGGACAGGGACTTTAGTCTTTGAATCTCCTGTGCCTAGGTCAGTGCTTATCACTTAACAAATGCTTGACCTCTAAGTGCCTTTAAAATCATGCAATTTCCAGTGTAGATTTCTTCTGGGAAAAATACTGATTTGGAATCAAAGAACTTGGGTTCAAATCCTGGCTCTTATCCTTCCCTTATTAACCTGTTATCTTTGGCAAGTTGGGCAAGTCTTAATAACCACAATTATTTTATTTAATATGGTACTAGAAATGTTAGCTTTAGCAATAAGAGAAGAAAAAGGAATTGAAGGAATTAGAATAGGCAAAGAAGAAATAAAGCTATCATTCTTTGCAGATGATATGATGATATACTTAGAAAATCCTAGAGAATCAAGTGAAAAAAAACTACTTGAAATAATAAGCAACTTTAGCAAAGTTGCAGATTATAAAATAAACCCACATAAATCATTGGCATTTCTATATATTACTAACAAAGCCCAATAGCAAGAGATAGAAAGAGAAATTCCATGTAAAGTTACTGTAACATTATAAAATATTTGGGAGTCCATCTACCAAAACAAACCCAGGAACTATATGAACACAATTACAAAACATTTTTCACACAAATAAAGTCAGATGTAAACAATTGGAAAAACGTCAGTTGCTCATGGGTAAATCAAGCTAATAAAATAAAAATGATAATTCTACCTAAATTAATTTACTTATTTAGTGCCATACCAATTAAACTACCAAAAATTATTTTATAGAGCTAGAAAAAATAATAACAAAATTCATCTGGAAGAACAAAAGGTCCAGAATATCAAGAGAATTAATGAAAAGAAATGATAGGGAAGTTGGCCTAGCTGTTCCAGATCTTAAATCGTATTGTAAAGTGGCAATCAACAAACCTACTTGGTATTGACTAAGAAACAGAGTGGTGGATCAGTGGAATAGATTAGGTATGCAAGACACAGTAGTCAATGACTATAGTAATCTACTGTTTGATAAGGCCAAAGACCCCAGCTTCTAGGATAAAAACTCACTACTTGACAAAATCTGCTGGGAAAACTGGAAAAGAGTGTGGCAGAAACTAGGCATAGACCAACATCTTACACCGTATACCAAAAAAAAATCAAAATGGATACGTGATTTAGAAATAAAGGCTGATACTATAAACAAACTGGGAAAGCAAGGAATAGTTTACCTGTCAGATTTTGGGAGAATGGAAGAATTTGTGACCAAACAAGATAAAGAACATTATGGAATTCAAAATGGATAATTTTGATTACATTAAATTGAAAAGTTATTGCACAAAGCCAATGCAACCAAGATTAGGAGGGAAGCAGAAAACAAGAAAGGATTTTTACAACCAGTGTCTCTGATAAAGGCCTCATTTCTAAAATATATAGAGAACTGAGTCAAATTTATAAGAATACAGGTCATTCCCTAATTGATAAATTGTCAAAGGATATGAACAAGCAGTTTTCAGATGAAGAAATTAAAGCTATCTCTAGTCATGAAAAAATGCTCTAAATCACTATTGATTAGGGAAATGCAAATTGAAACAACTCTGAGGTACCACCACATCATGCCTATCAGATTGGCTAACATGACAAAATAGGAAAATGATAAATGTTGGAGAAGATATGGAGTTGTAAACTGATCCAACCATTCTGGAGAGCAATTTGGAACTATGCCCCAAAGGGCTATAAAACTGTGCATATCCTTTGACCCAGCAATAGCACTTCTAGGGCTGTATCCCAAAGAGATCATAAAAATGGGACAAGGACCTACATATACAAAACTATTTATAGCAGCTCTTTTTTTGTGGTGGCCAAGAATTGGAAATTGAAGGGATGTCCATCAGTTGGGGAATGGCTGAACAAGTTGTGGTATATGAATGCAATGGAATACTATTGTGGCATAAGAAATGATGAGCAGGTGAACTTCAGAAAAACCTGGAAAGACTTGTATGGTCTGATGCTGAGTGAAGTGAGCAGACCCAGGAGAACATTGTAGACAGTAATAGCAATGTTGTGCAATGACTAACTTTGATAGACTTACGTCTTCTCAGCAATGCATGGATCTAAGATATCTCCAAAAGTCTCATGATGGAAGATGCTATCCACATCCAGAGAAAGAACTATGGAATTTGAATACAGATTGAAGCGTAGTATTTGCTCTTTTTTTCCCTTCTGTTTTGTTTTGTTTCCTCTTTCTTGTGGTTCCTCCTATTGGTTCTAATTCTTCCTTATAACATGACTAATGTGAAAAATATGTTTAATAGGAATGTATATGTAGAGCCCATATCAGATTGCACATCATCTTAGGGAGGGAGGAGGGGAGGGAGAAGAAGGAAAATTTAAAACTCAAAAATGTGTGGAAGTGATTGTTGAAAACTAAAAATAAATTAATTAAAAAAATGACCAGCAGGCAGACTTCAGAAAAACCTGGAAAGACTTATTTGAACTGATGCTGAGTGAAGTGAGCAGAAACAGGAGAAGAATGTACAATGTAATAGCCACAATGTGGGATGACTAATTTTGATAGACTCATCTCTTCTTAGCAATGCAAGGATCCAAGATAACTCTAAAAGACTCATGATGGAAAATGCTGTCCACATCCAGAAAAAGAACTATGGAGTCTGAATGTAGATCAAAGCATATTATTTGCTCTCTCTTTTTTTCCCTTTTTTGTTTGTTTCTTCTTTCTTGTGGTTTCTCCCATTGGTTCTAATTCTTCTTTGCAACATGACTAATGTGAAATAGGTTCACTGTGAATGTATATGTAGAACCTATATAGAATTGCATGCCTTCTTGGAGTGGGGGGAGGGGAGAGATGGGGAGAAAATTTGGAACTCAAAATCTTGTGGAAATAAATGTTGAAAACTAAAAATAAACAAATAAATTTTTGAAAAAGAAAGAAAGAAAAAATAATTACATTTATTACTGATAATTATAACAACAATAATAATGAAAACTCTGTGGCTCATTTTACCCTCACCCAAGACTCAGACCCTGGGAACTTCTGATTTTGGCTTATGTATTCCTCTTTGGGCTCTTCTGCAGGCCCTTGAAAGCACTCTAGGCTAAAAGTAAAAATTAAACATGGAGCAGGTTTATTAAAAGGCATGGAAAGAACAGAAAAGGGGCTCATGTCCAAACCCCCTTAGCAAGGAAATAGTTACAGCTCTATAAAATTTATAGTACTAGCTAGTCAAGTCTCCAGCTCATGTGTTGTTAAGGCTGGTCTGTTGTCAGCTTTCCCCTCATCCTCTTTGGGATCTTCATTGCCTCAGCCATTTAATGTCTGTGCTGCTTGCAGCTCCCATTTTTTGTGGCCACCCTTCTCACATGCCTTTTATTTTCCTTGTGGTTGCTTTCCCCTACAAGTCCCCGATCAGAGCTTTTGTTTACTCAGGCAAAAGTGTCCTTGGCTCCTCCTTACACTGCTATAACCAGAAGGAAAGGAAGAAGGAAACCAACTTCTTTTGACAGGTTCTTCCCTGATGTGGTGTTCTTATGGAATCAGTTAACAATGTTAGGCCAGGTAGGCCTGGATCTGTTGTCTATAATAGAACTTTTATTGCTCCTGAAACCTTCTTCATGCAGCCTTCATGTTGGTCAGAGGACCACTGGTAACTTTACCATACCTGGGATAAGGTGTTCCTGTATAGAAATGAAACTCATGATCTTTTTTCCTCACTCTACTCCAAAGATGCAGTTAGCTTTGCATGGCCCTAAAGTTTACTCGCTTTTGATTTGCATTTGATCTAATTTTATTTGAACACTATCTTCACATGTCAGTTTAAAGTAGTTATTCCCAACTCTCATTAGTATAGAATTGCTATAATTGCCTCAAGAAGTCAGTAATTCAATAAGCATTTATTAAGTGCTTACTGCATACCAGGTATTGTGCTAAGCACTGTGGATACAAAGAAAGACAAAACCATGGTCCCTGACCTCGAGGAGTTCACATTTTAAAAGGGGAGACAATATGCAATTAGCTGTGTGCATCTTAGCTCAGTGCAACACAATGTATATGAAAGGTAATCTCAGAGGACTCTCTTCAGTCCACAATATAGATTATAGCTGATCCCTGCCTATCCATCTGGTATGACTCTTGTCCATATATCCTCCCACATTAAGTTCAACCCACACATTTCAGCCCATGTGTTAGGGCCTTCTTTACTCTCTCTGGTCATCATAAGGATCGCAGAGGAGCCAACAGGGTGCCCATCAATTATCCTTGCTCTCTCCCTGTGACTAGCTTATCTTCCCTCTCACTCATTCTTAGATGCAATCCTTTGTTCCAGTTATCCTGTCTAATTTTTTATTCATGATACATCATAGCATGTTCTCATGTAAGGATGCAAAATTGAAGGTTACTCTGTTATGTTATACTGCAGCTGTTTGCAATGGCTATGTTTCTGAAGACAGGATATGATCCAGAATATAACTAAATCTGTGGAGTAGGAGCTACAGATGGGGATCTGGCTCCTATAATCTGGCTCATTGTGAGTTATCAAGTTGAGAATCTTGAAAATGAAATGAACTGCAGGCATCATCTTCAAACAGAGGAAAGCATATTGGATTTGGAGCCAGAATAGCTGCTTTCAAATCCTTTCACCTTACAGATGAGTAAACGGAGGAATCAAGAATGTTTAGGCTAGAGAAGACAAGCTTTGGGAGAGGATGTGATCGCTTCCTTCAACTATTTCACAGTATCATGGATTTAGAGTTTAGATTTAGGGAACTCAGAGCCACCTAGTTCAACTGCCTCATTCTACAGATGAAGAAACTGAGACTTATGCAAGTTAGGTGACGTGGTCATGGTTATACAGGTAGGAAACATAACAGCCAGGATTTTCAAGATCACACAATAAAATAACCAGTAGTGAATCAGTGTATTCCTTCACGCAGGTTCCTTGCGGTCGTCTGTGACAAAATTAAACTGAAAAAAACCCCTAACTCCTACATCTTCTGTTCTTTTGTAGATGTCAAGAGTGAATACAGAGAAATGGAGAAATTGTATAAGAGCCTGAGAGAAATTGCAGAGAACGCAGTGATGAGGAGGGGAATGCAAGAGTTTCTCACGAGAATGTCACCTAAAAAAGTTGGTTCCCCAAAAAACTCAACTCTTGTCCTTTGTGATTAGGCTGCAGGATTTAGAAATTGAGCTTGAAATAAAAGAAACATTGATTTCTGTATACTGAAATATCAGAATGGAATTTTTCCAGTCTTCTAGTCCATATATCTTTTGGTCATTGGGATAATCTGGGCTGTTTTTGTTCTCTGATGAACATGATTTTGTTTTAAGTCTGTAACTAAACCAGATTCCTGCATCCCTGTGGATAGGGTGCAGCTTTTGGTATACCCATTCTTTGTTAGACCTTTGACATTGGCAGATACTTGGATAAGAATGAAAAAGCATTGCGGAAAAAGAGGCAGGGTTGTATGCCACTGATGAACTTAGCCAAATCATCACCTTGGGATCATCCTCTGTAAACTGAAAATGCTGAATTGACTAAGTTATCCCCAGGATTCCTTACAGTTCTGACCTACAACTATCCCCAAATTCCTCCCTTTTCAGTGCTTTGGTTTCTTCCCCTTCTATAAAGGGCGTTCAGGGTTTTGATCTGCCTCACTAACATGGGTGAGGAACTTGATTATAAAGCCTTTTTCCTATTAAAATCCTAAATAAATAAACATGGCTGTGGAAGACTGCATAGCTCCTTTTACTGAGACCCTGGAAAAAACATGTGGTCTAATACCATGTCTTAAGGAGATGGGTTGGAGGAATTGGAGATGTTAAGCCTGAAGAAGAAAAGACTGGGATGGGGGGAGGGGAGAAAGGGACATGACAACCAACTTCAGGTACTCCAGGTGTGGAAGCAGGATTAAACCTTCCTGCTCCTCCCCAGAAGGCAGAACAAGGAGCCACCCTTTGGTGGAATTTGCAAAGAGACAAGTTTAGATTTGATGTCAGGAAAGACTTTCTGACAATTAGAACTGCCTGGAGGTAGTAAGTTTCCCACCACTGCCTGGATGACAATTTGCTGGGTATCTTAGAGCCAGGGACTCTTTCCTAGGTATGGGCTGAATGGCGGCTAAAGGTCCTTTCCAACTCTGCAATTTTATGGGAGTTCTAGGTTGTTTTTGTTTCTGCCTCCAGATCTTGGACAGTGAAACAAGTGACAGAGGCAGTGTGGTACAATGGAAAGAGCATTGGATTTTGCGTTAGAGGAACTGGATTTGGTGTCAAGAGGACCTAGATTAAAATCTTGACTGTGCCCCTTCCTATTCAACTCTGGACAAATCACTTCATCTCTATGGGTCTCAATTTCCTCATCTGTAAAATAAGGAGGTTACACTAAATGACCTCTAAGGTCTCTTCTGGTTCTAAATCTATGATTTTAAATGTACTTTTGCAGGGTGGAAGAAGGCAAAACTATGGTTAAAATTTCTAGTGCCTGATTTCAAAAAACAAAACCATCTTTCAAAGTCAAATCACGCCCCAGGTTCCTACAGGCAGGCTTCTTATACATAGAAGCGCAGGCATGTTCAGCCTCAAGGATCTCATCAGCACATACTTCTGTCAACCAATGTTTTCCATATGCTGCTGAATCTGTGGTGTTTTCTGCAGATATTTAGTGGGTTGGGCTCTGAGAGCATTTTTTTCAAACTTCACCTTGCCTGTTCCCACCTCTACTTTCACTGATAACTCAGTGTGGGTGAAACCACTTGAAATTTATTCCTGTGGGAATAGTTGTTTGAGGGGAGGAGGAGGGGATAGATAAAAGAAGACAGGGTTTTGTGTTGGGGTAGCCCCCTGTAACACTAGAAGGCCTTCTCTTAAAAGTGGCTAGCTTATTTGCTCCACCAACCAAGGATTAATAAGCTCTATCCCAAGGGAAGTTTCAACCAACTGGTCATTCATACTTTGTATATATTACTTTTTTTCTTTGTTAAAATTTTCTTTATTAATTTTTAGTTTTCAACATTCACTTTTACAAGATTTTGAATTTTAAATTTTCTTCCCCTCCCTCAGATGCGTACTTTTGGAAAATCTTCGGAAGTTGTGTGGAGGGTGGACTGGAGAGGGCAGAGACTTAAGCAAGGAAACCAAATTAGGAGATTATTGCAATGGTCCAAGACAAAAGGGGACTGATGGTCAGCTTCTTGAATAAATGTATGAATGAATGAAAAAGCACTGTGTGTCAGACACTATACTTCAGATCTGGGGACAAAAAGCAAGATAGTCCCTGCTCTCAAGAAGCTTTCATTCTAAAAAAGGAAGACAACACATATGAAAGCACGGTGGCCAGAGAGGGATGCTTTGGTCAGGGAAGTCAAGGCAGTTGATTGGCATGTCCTTTTCAGGAATGGTACTGTTGATTTGATCAGTTTTCCCAGAGCTAGAGGTGGTAACGGTGGCTAGGGCGGTAAGCATAGGCACATAGCATGAACATGTCTAGGGAATAGCGTGGTGGGTCTGAGTCAGGTTAAACATAGACGAAGGCTCGCCAACCCAAAGCCCAGGGTCCCAGGGCAGGTACTGTAGTTGGGGGCAGAGGGAGAGGATGCAGCACAGGAATATGGCATGCAGATGATAGGAGAGCAAAAAAGTACCATTGATCTAATGGTACTTGATTTCTTGTCCAAACCACTCCAATCAGTTAAAATAGAGGTCTATTAAAACACCTTTGCTTCCTTTTCCTGCTCTCATACGTGGTGCCAAATTGACTAACAGTCCTGACTTAGGAAAGGCAGGGAGGGTAGTGACTAGCATAGGACCAATGGGGCTTTAGTCCAGAGTGCCAATATCCAGCAGGGAAGCTTGCTTCTGAATATGTGGGAGGATGTTTCCCTTTGAGGAATATGAATTTTAGCCCCATGATGATCTTAATCCCTTTGCCTTAAGTCATGGATCTTCAGATTCTTGTCACTATGGTGCCCCTCTTTTGGAGCCTGCTTTTCCCCACAAAGCCTCATGGGTTAGACTTTGACCTCTCTTGAAGTGATGGCACCCAAAGTCAGACTATCTTTTGTGCTGCACCTAGCCCTAGCCCTTACCCAACTGTGCTCATCCCAGGCAAAAATATTGCTTATTAGGGCTCTGGAGGTCTATTCAGGACTGGCTTTTCAACAAAAGCTACTTCCATTTTTTTTAATGTCTGTTTTCAGAGTGGCCTATCTGTTTTTCTAAATAGCTGCAGCAATTTAATCTGTTCTCAGTCTCAGTTTATTTTTGAAATCCTAGTGGGTAGAGGTAGGAGATGAAGGGAAAGAGGCAACACACTTTGTCCAGAGGTTCCTCAGTTGGTCGGGGGGACTGATGGATATGCTTACCCTTGTCAGCCAAGTGAAGGTGTTCCCTTTTGGCATTCTCTTTTCCCCCTGCTAAAAGTGCTAGATGGCATGTTTATCCTGAATACTAAAGCTAGTTCAAATTCATCTTGTTTAGAGATTTCATTTTCTGATGCCAATTGAGGTTATTGGAGATTTGTTGGGGTGTTCACATAATCAGACATGGCGGTTGCAAGTGTGTATGGTGCTGAAACAAAATGGCTGATTCTATCAGTTCATTATAGTCTAAAGTGATATGTTCCAGTAGAATGTAAGCTCCCTGGGGACAAGGCCACTCATTTGTTTGGTTTTTTTGTCTTTGTGACTCCAGTACCGAGCACAGGGTCCTTCAATGTAGTAGGTGTTTCATAAATGACTATTCTTTATTGCTTAATACTTAAATGCTTCAAGATTTTTTTGCTCAAGCAATATCTGTGTTTTGTTGCTTAGTACGTGGGGTATGAAACAATTACTTTATAAAGATGCTACAAACTGCATGATTAACCAATCAACAAACATATTAAATACCTGGTATTGTGCTAGGTGATAGGTACAAGCAAAAAAATGAAACCCTTCCTAACCTTAAAGGTCTCTGTCAGGATAGGTGACGTGTACACATATAAATACATACAAAATAATCTTTTTTTGGGGGGATATACTAGCAGTTGGAGGGATTGTGAAAGGCTTCATGCAGGAATTGGTGTTTAATCAGAATTTTGAAGGAAACTAGAGATTTCACAAAACTCAGGTAAGGAGGGAGAGTATTCCAGGCGTCTGGAACAGCTCGGACAATGCCACAGTGATAGGAGATGGGACGTCCTCTGTAAGGAACAGCATGAAGGCCCTTTGGTGGGACTATAAAGTGTGGGAAGTTTTTGTTTTTGAGGACATAACCATACTCTTCCAGCTGCCCATGCTTCTTGAACTGTGTTAACATTAAGCCAAAATATCTGGTAGATTTTATCACCCAAACAAAAGTTAGTCATTTCTTTCTTGTTTTTTTGTCTGCATTGTGCTAGATAACTGGGATGCAGAACTGATAGAATCAGCTATTTTGTTTTGGCATCATGCAGACTTGCAACTGCCATGCCTGATAATGTGGACACCCCAACAAATCTCCAATGACCTCAATTGGCATCAGAAAATGAGATCTCTAAACAAGATGAATTTGAACTAGCTTTAGTATTCAGGATAAACATACTATCTAGAACTTTTAGCGGGAGGAGAAGAGAGTGCTAAAAACCAGCTGATGAAGATGGAGCATAGCATGCAGCTCCAGAAGGGCTGGCAGTCACTGGTGCCGATAGAAACATTGTTATCAAAATTCTTTGTGTTCTCTTTCCCTCTGTTTAAACAAAATAGTGATATTTTGTTTTGACACAACCAACATTTTCCCACAAACATTCAGCCCCCTAACAAAGAACATTTATTTTTAAAAAAGTTAGTTTGTTGATTGTTGCCAGAGATGTGTCCTTTAACTTGGACTTTGTGTCCTTTATGCTCATGGCACTCACCTTGGTTGTTGCAATTTACCAGCAGTTACTTGCCCTGCCATCTTGGCTTTATTGACTTTGTTGAATCACTGTATTTATTGTTATCTAGGGTCTGCTTTCTTCTCTCTACATCACCCCATAGGTATGTTTCTAGTAATCTCTCCCTTTTACTTAGGGCCTAGATTTGGAACAGATCGGGAACACTGACCTTCTCTTTTCTTTGGAAGTATCTGTGATGCTCTGGGGTATAGCAATAGTCCCTGTATAGCAGGGTATTCTGGAAGCTATCCCAAATTCCCTAGAGAATACTTTAAAATTTCCAGACCATAGTGCTACCAGGGCTTGGTCCATAAGTCGGATTTAGAAAGAAATTTCATAACGGTAAGAATGGGTCATCCAAATAGCTAACAAATAAAATGGTTAGTGTTGACTCATTCTAACTGTCTAGTAGGATATTTTAAAAGAGAAGAGGTAGTGTGGGGGTAATGGATAGACAGCCTCAGAATCGGGAGGCTCCTCGTTTTCAAGGCAGGAAGTTCAAAGTTCATCTTTGACCCATCCTGGCAGTGGGACCCTGGGCAAGTGACTGTCACTTCTCAATGCCTCAAGCAGCTGTGCAAATTACAACACAGCTGCTGATCTACTTCGGTAGAAGGAATTTTCTCAGTGGGATGTCCCTACAATGATGAAATCACAAATCTGGGCAATTTTTAAAAAAGAACACAGCAATGCCCCACTACTTGAACTTCTGGCAAGTTCAGCCTGCTAAAACACAATCAAACAATCAATCAAACAAGGTTTTATTAAGCCAGAACTTTTGCTAAATTTTGGAAATACAAAGACAAAAGTAAAACAGTATATG